TCGTCGGGAAGAAAAAATTATACAGTATGTATTTTCTACATATTAGTAGATTCTAAAATCGATTAAATAAGCCTTTGTAATCCCTAATTGTCAAAGCTTTCGGGGCTTCGCCACTTCGCCCACTTTGCCTTCATTCCGGAAATCTGACTCCTCGTCGGAGGCATCTGTCCCTCTGTCGGGAATCGGTCCTCACCCCTCTCCCCCCATCGTGAAAATCCTGGTGCCACCCCAGTTCCTTGTTAAGTACAGTAAATAAAAATCGGAACGATTTTCACCGCTACACTTTTTCTTATAACCAGTAAAATTTTGCCCAGGGTCAGTGTTCTTATTTTTTGGCCAATTTCAAGCTCAAATGTTCTTATTTTGTTCCTATGTTACACACTTTTCAAACATACAAATGTGTTATTTTACCAGTAAACATTGTACTGGAATGTAGGTAATGCCCAAAAAAAAAGGCCAATGAGAAAACGTTCCTAGAAAAAAATGGCCCGGTAAACACCTCCTGTACTGTATTATAGAGGCTTATATAGTCACACAAAATTGCACATAAGGTACAGATACATTTTTCGTTTTTTAAAGTCAAAATCTCATTGAACATTTTATCCCAGCCTCAATTTGTTCTTAATTGCTGCGAAGCAGCCAATTCATATTCTTGACAGCAATTTGACCTCTGAAAGGTCATTGTTTGTCAAAAAAACAAGGGCCTAAGACGACTGAAAAGCGGAGTTTCCTTCTTTCGTTCTGCCGAGTAAAATCAATTACTTTAGGCGTTTGTAGACTACCCAACACGTACCAACATCCGCATGTCGCGCTAGCCTTATCCTACTCTAGGCCTAGACTAGCTAGGATGGTATAGGCCTAGCCTTGAAGGGACGAAGGTCCCAGTGAAAAACAACGTCGCTCCTTGATAGCTAACATTGTCTATTTAACATCACAATAATTCATTATATTAGACCTATTGTTGTTTTTTGAATTGTTGTACTCCACAAATCTCAGCCGATACCTCGCACAACTCGAGTAACGTCTCGTATCTATTGTCGTGACGTCATGGCTCGCTGGCTCACACTTGCGATGTCTCGCACTTGTGATCAAATAACACGCTGGCTCGGACTTGGGCAACACTCTTTGGCAGTATTAATTACAGTATGTTTATCCATCCGTGAATAAACAAGTGAAATACGAACTTATTATATACTGTAATACTAATATAATTTTTAATGACTATATTCCTATTATATTTATACGAGTTGGGGGATATTATGGAATACATATAAAAATTATGCTGGCCTACTAAAATTAAACATGTGCTATGAATACACAGGGTACAGTACCGTATGCTTATTCCTCCATGAAAAATTTTAAGTGAAAAGTACACAAACATATTAATGCTATGTGAATGACAATGACTAGGCCTGTTGTACCTATACGTGTTCTGGTTCTGGTTCTTGTGGGTAAAACTCGACCTCCAAAATTGTAAAGTAAAACAGGAGGGGTAGAAATAGTCGAGGAGAAAAAAAATTATGCATTTTCTACATATTAGTAGACTCTAAAATTGATTAAATAAGCATTTGTAATCCTTATACAGTATTTTCAAAATATTTGGGGGCTTCACCCCCTGGACCACCGTCAAAAACCTTTTCATAGAAGCTCGACCACGCCCACTTTGCTTTCGTCGAGGGCATTGGTCCCCAAGTCGGGGACCTCGGGCAAATCCTGGAGCTACCCCTGTTTTGTACACAAAACACCAATTCTTAACATCAAAATTCCAGCGATACTCGGTGCGAGACCGACTGCAGAAACCTGTTGATTGATTAAACCTGTTGATTGATCGATTAAATAAGCATTTGTAATCCTTGTACAGTACAGTATTTTCAAAATTTTTGGGGGCTTCACTCCCTGGACCACCGTCAAAAACCTTTTCATACATCAAAATCCCAGCGATACTCGGTGCGAGGCCGACTGCAGAAACCTGTTGATTGATTGATTAAACCTGTTGTTTGATTGATTAAACCTGTTGATTGATTGATTAAATAAGCATTTGTAATCCTAATACAGTACTGTATTTTCAAATTTTTTGGGGCTTCACCCCCTGGACCACCGTCAAAAACCTTTTCATAGAAGCTCGACCACGCCCACTTTGCTTTCGTCGAGGGCATTGGTCCCCAAGTCGGGGACCTCAGGCAAATCCTGGAGCCACCCCTGTTTTGTACACAAAACACCAATTCTTAACATCAAAATTCTAGCGATACTCGGTGCGAGGCCGACTGCAGAAACCTGTGTTGAGTCGATCAACTGTACGAGTCGTGCATAATTTTTGCAGAAGACGAAAGAAAAACATATACATGTTCCTCATGGCTGCTAGATTTAGTCTTTACTGATTTGGTTTTTGGACAGTAAATCATAATATATTCCGATATTCAAAATTGAATTTCGATATGCAAAAATGTGAATGTGAATTCAATTTCTTTTTTGATTTAGAGGAACAAATCCTCTAAAGAAATGATTTATTTTTGCAGTGGCGTCGCCAGAGTATGAACTGTCTCTTATACACATCTAGATGTGTATAAGAGACAGGGGGGGGGCAAGGTAAAATTTTAAGGGGGAAAATATGCTGGGGTGGCCCGAGATGGGCGTGGTCGGGCGTCGTTCAAAATATCTCGAAAATGGTCCAGGGGCAAAGCCCCGAAAAATATGGCAATTTACGGGTGTTAAAGGTTAATTTTTATTGATTTTATAAGTAGATTGTCTATTGTTATTGGGTATTTTTGATTACAGACAATAGTACAATAAAAACCATTTGAAGCTTCAACTGCACTACGATATCTTGATATAGTAGCGCTATATATACATAGTACAGTATGTATAGCCTATCTGTATAATGTATTTTCGAAATGATTTTGAATATGAACTAATTGTTATCATGTCATTGTAATCTTGCATCCCCGCCTCTTGTACAGTATTTTGTTGATAAGGTCCAGCAAAACGTAATGTACGCAACACGCATATTCCTGACAGTGTTCTGATTGGTCAGTTCTTCACTGTAAGTTGGCATATTATAACCACTATTGCTATATAACGGTTGCACTTAAAGTTTGCATTACTGTCACTGTAAAGCTAATTTTCCACTAGAACACGTTATATTTTCATTGCGGATTTTTTGGGCTCAGTACGGACTCTAAACGTATTCATTTTCTTTTAGTTTTAAGGCGTATGCGGATTTTATAATCCGCAATGACGATATAACGTGTTCTAGGTAAATTTATTCACGCGAATCAAAGCGCTGATTCGCTTCCTGGGCTCCCATTGTTTGCACAATTTTTTGCTTCGCAAAAATTTCTGAGAGGAATGTGAATGCGCATTAACCGACGCTTTCGATTCACGCGAATAAATTCTCTAAAGTGGAAAACAGGCCTAAATGCTGTTGTACTTTGCATACTGTAATAAGTTACTGTTGTGTACCGTTGCTATTAATACTATAATGCGTACGTCAGTTTTTACCACTATGCATAAAATCACCACACATTCATTTCAAGCATTTTTCAAACTTCATTCTAAATAACAAAATGATGAATTTCCTTTTTTTATACTTTAATCTCATTGATACATGTGCTAATGTTATATATTACATACAACATCTTGGATCAGTTTAAATTAAAACCAAAGTTATTATGTCAATACCAGTAATGAAAAATCATTGAGAACAGAGTTGTGAACAAGTACTTGTCACTACTGGTGTGTAATGGCTATTCAACACTTCTCCAGTGAGAAAAGTGTGAATACCAAATACTTGTCTGCTGACGATACTACGGTGACTATTCAATACTCCTCCAGTGGGAAAAGGGTGAATACCAAACACTTGTCGCTATTGGTAATATGATGACAATTCAACACTTCTCCAATAGACCCCTTGCAATGTTTACATTGGACCTGGCTGAAACGCTGGCGGCGCCCTAATCTGGAGGCAGTAGAGGCAGAAAGGCTATATTTAATACACTGTCTGGGTTATATTTATTTTTGTTGTGCCAAAAGTATGAAAGCTACATGGATGAAAATCACATGAGACATATTTACATATATTAGGAATTGAAGCGTGCAATGAAGCTAATTCGCTTTCTTGGTCTGGTGCTCTCACACATGGCAACATCCGATGAGATGAGTTTAAAAATTGAATAAAAATAGAAAAAATAAAAATTTTTCACTTTTTATTTTTGTTGTCAATTCCTAATATATGTAAATATGTCATATGTGATTTTCATCCATGTAGCTTTTATGCTTTTGGCACAACAAAAAAAAAAACAAACCAAGACAGTGTATTAAAGATAGCCTTTCTGCCTCCAGTTTAGGGCGCCACCAGCGTTTCAGCCAGGTCCAATGTAAACATTGCAAGGGGTCTATGAGAAAAGCATGAATACCAAACAATTGTCGTTGATGGTCCAATGATGACTGCTCAAAACTTCTCCAGTGGGAAAAGCGTGAATACCACGCACTTGTCATTACTGGTAATATGACAACAATTCAACACTTCTCCATTGGGAAAAGCATGAATAGCGACACTTGTCACTACTGGTACCACGATGGCTATTCAACACTTCTCCAGTGGGAAAAGTGTGAATGCCACTCACTTGTCGTTACTGGTACAACAATGACTATTCAAACACTTCTCCACTGAAAAAAGTGGGAAAATAACCATGGGCTTATAACTACTGGTAATGAGTTTAAAATTTTATAATTTCATCAATGAGAAAAGTGTAAATACCAAGTACTTTTAAATACTGGTAATGACTAACAGTGATGTTTGCTTTTTAATCTTCATCTTCTTCTTCAACATCATCACCACCCTTTCCTTTCTTTGCGTTCTTTCGCTTAACACGTCCAGCACGTCCTCCTCCATATGGTGATCTCAAAGAGAAGTCAATGTGCTTCTGAGAGTCGAGTCGCACAATGTAGGATGGAATGTTCACAACTTGTTTGCGCACTCTGTGTATAAAAAATTAAAGATCAAAATCAAATGTTTGTAAAAAATTAATAATAAAAATTTCTTCTTTCTTGCATATCACTTTTTAGACTCTTAAGCACTTTGCCACCCTTCTTAGGACTGAAAGCATAAACAAACGAAAATTAAAGATACCATTGGTTCAGTCTGAGTCACTCATCAATTTCTGAGGTATATGAACAAAATCACATTGACCTCAGTGAAAGATACCATTGGTTCAGTACTACTCATTAATTTCTAAGGTATATGAAGCAAATCACATTGACCTCAGTGAAAAATACCATTGGTTCAGAGTCACGCATAAATTTCCGAGGTATATGAACCAAGTCACATTGACCTCAGTGAAGGACACCATTAGTTCAGAGCCACTCATCAATTTCTAAGGTATATGAACCGTCACATTGACCTCCGTGAAAGATACCATTAGTTCAGAGCCAGACATCAATTTCTGAGGTATATGAACCAAGTCACATTGACCTCAGTGAAAAATACCATTGGTTGCGAGTCACTCATAAATTTCTGAGGTATATGAACCAAGTCATATTGACCTCGGTGAAAGATACCATTAGTTCAGAGCCACTCATAAATTTCTGAGGTATATGAACCAAGTCACATTGACCTCAGTGAAAGATACCATTGGTTCAGAGTCACTCATCAATTTCTAAGGTATATGAAGCAAATCACATTGACCTCAGTGAAAGATACCATTGGTTCAGAGTCACTTATCAATTTCTGAGGTATATGAACCAAGCCACATTGACCTCAGTGAAAGACACTTGATTCAGAGCCACTCGTCTATTTCTGAAGTATATGAACCTAGCCACATTGACCTCGGTGAAAGACGCTTGATTCAGAGCCACTCGTCTATTTCTGAAGTATATGAACCTAGCCACATTGACCTCAGTGAAAGATAGCATTGGTAAGAGCTTCATTTTTTATATCTGCACAAAGAAACCAATACAACACTTAGTTTAGTTCAAGAGTTGACCATTAATTCCTGGTAGCGAGTATATTATTTTAGTTCCTTTTAAAGTTATGAAGGCAATGATATTACAGTACACCCTCCAATTTGAAACCCCTCAACTTCTAAGACCATCTCTTATTTGAGACCACTTTTTCAAATAACAAAATAACAATCTTCAATATTTTAACACAAAACTAACTCTCTACTTGGAGACTAAACCCCAAGATCACCCCTAAGTTTTAGGTCCCAGAGGTTGTCTCGAATTGGTGGACGAACTGTACAGTATTTGAACGTTATCTTGCATGCATCCTTGTCGAACCGGAACATAACATACCTAATGTGTCTTTGGCGGATCAACACCCTGGCATGATGGATGCTCTTTGCCAACCCGAGCTTGAAGACTTGGGTTTGAAGACGGCGCTCCAGAAAGTCTTCAACACGTAGACCCAACACATAATCAAGTTTCATCTTCGACTCATCCAACACTCCAATACGGACAAGGCGACGCAAAAGGGCGTTACCTACAAACATTAAAATTGCAATTGTTGCTTGTATACAATAATATTAATTGCAAACTCTTAATTGCATTCTCATATTTAGTTAACATAAGTTTACTTACTATAATTTTTTTAAATAAATCGCATTTATTGCCAAATGCATGTATGCATAGTTTAAATAGATTTATTAGTCTTACTGTATTTACTTATCTTTTTAGAAAAGTTGTAACAAACCTTCAAAAAGACGCCTTGAATCTTTTTCCTCAAGTGTCAATAGGTGACGCGCCGACTTCCTGATTTTTGCTAGGGTGTACTTGACACGCCATACTTCACGCTTGTTGCGAAGGCCGAATTCTCCAATGAGTTTTAACTCTTGATCTAGACGCTCTTTCTCAAAAGGGCGTCGAGGAGTCACAAAGGTCTTACTGCACACCAGCTTTGGCATTTTGAATCGTTACTAAAAATAGGGTTACAAAGGAATTATCATTAGAACATAAAGTCAAAGAATCTTTGCCTTAATAATAACAAAGGAATTATCATTAGAACATAAAGTCAAAGAATCTTTGCCTTAATAATAATTTAATAGGCCCCTTTCAATGTTTACATAACTATTCCTGATGTTTTGAAACAATAGGGAATGTCAATTGGGGTGGATCCAGAGATGTCCGAAGGGTGGGGGAGGGGGGAGAGAAGGAAAGTGGGATCGATCGAGATAACACCACCATAGGGGGTCCGGGAATTCCCCTTCCCCCGCAAAATTTTGTTTTCTACACGCCTAAAAATAACCTCTGAGGCATTTTAGGAGATTTTTTTTTTCTTCCAAAGAAGGCCCCCACAAGATCGGCCCCTGTCAATTAGTGTTTACAGTATATTTTTGTCTTTGTATTTAGTTTGATTTATAAATTGTAAGTGCAACTGGCAGTACCTACATCAACATTTCATTCTTGTTTTTGTGAAGCTCAAAAATAGTATGGAGAAATGCATATTTAAACCAACTTTCAATAAACTTTGCAACATTAACACTGTATATGCCTACTACAGTATATTCTTTGTCTTGTGTTCAGCATGGTTATAAGTGTGAATGAATTATTACCATTAGAAAGGGAATTTCCTTTTTCTTTTGTCTTATTGATTTATTATGTTTTATACTTATTTTAAATTCAAATTCAACAATAATCAATGTCCTCGGCTACATAATCGGAAAAAAAAACTTCCACCACCCCACCCTTTATAATATTAAGATTAGGCTAGTCAAAGCCTAATTTTTGACAAAATCTGCGAGGAAATCGGATCTTAATTTCCGAAATGCACGGACAGATTTCTATCTAGGCCCTTAGTATCCTTTCTATCTATATCCCCCGCGCAGGCTAGGCCTTTTTATCTACCACTAGTAGTAGTAGAGTATTAACTTGCTTTCTTAACTTTATTACTGCTGGCTTAGCCTAAGGGCTGTCTCTTATACACATCTAGATGTGTATAAGAGACAGGTATATGCCTACTACAGTATATTCTTTGTCTTGTGTTCAGCATGGTTATAAGTGTGAATGAATTATTACCATTAGAAAGGGAATTTCCTTTTTCTTTTGTCTTATTGATTTATTATGTTTTATACTTATTTTAAATTCAAATTCAACAATAATCAATGTCCTCGGCTACATAATCGGAAAAAAAAACTTCCACCACCCCACCCTTTATAATATTAAGATTAGGCTAGTCAAAGCCTAATTTTTGACAAAATCTGCGAGGAAATCGGATCTTAATTTCCGAAATGCACGGACAGATTTCTATCTAGGCCCTTAGTATCCTTTCTATCTATATCCCCCGCGCAGGCTAGGCCTTTTTATCTACCACTAGTAGTAGTAGAGTATTAACTTGCTTTCTTAACTTTATTACTGCTGGCTTAGCCTAAGGGAGGGGGGGGGGGGGAATAGGCGCCTACTAGGCCTAGCTTGGTAGTAGTAGTACTACTACTAGGCCTAGGCCCTACTTAGGCTATGGAGAATACTGTAAGTAATTATAACTCCATGATAGGCTAGGCCCTAGGCCGAATCTCCACCTAAATTTGAATTAAACAGTACTCATTTTTAATATGAAAAGAGAATACAAATACATAAAACTTCTTTAACTAAACTTTGATCATAAGAGGGTTAAAAAGACCATTTAATACTTAAAAACGATTAACTTCAAGAGCAATTTTATAGACATACCACGTGGTAGCAGCCCCAGCACAGAAAAGAACGTTAGGTGAGCCGACGAGTGATGACGTCAACAAAAATCTGTTCACTGCATATTATTTTTTATATTGATACTAAAAAGTATCCCATTTCTATCATCGAATAGTTTTATACAAATAATACATTATTATTACAGATGCGGTGTATATGGTTACATTCTATTGATGCTGTATATATCAGAAAATCTGATATAAGGTGGGTACTATTTTCTTCCAACGAAGTGACTAGGTCGAACTTGACACGCTTTGCTAGTTCAGTCATCAGTCTTTGATCTCCCGATCCCCATCCCCTTCTGTGCTTGACAGAACAAAGTCAACTTGCGTCAACTCACGTCATCTTTAATCTGAAAATAAAGAATAATAAAAGATGATACTAGTGAGTTTTCTGTTAGTATATTTAGCCTATTTGTTCATATTTTTTATCATACTTTCTAAAAGTAATGTAGCATATTTTTAATGATTGAGGATTGTTCTGTAGATGACGTAATAATATAAACATCATACACCTGTGCCTGTATGACATCTCCCTGAACCCTGATTGGCCTCAAAATCCTTGGCCGCTACCACTATTTTCTTCAAATCATTTTATCAATACTTTGCCACATTTACTTTTTTTTTAATTTTCACTATTTCATGTTATTTCCTTTTTGTAACTCAGGTTGTACTCACTTGTTTCTTATTATCTTGTTATCATCTTATACAACAGGTATCCATGTCTTTGTTTAAGTTATTGTAGTTGTGTGTGTGTGTGTGTGGTTTTTTTTCTGTTTTCCTTTAGAAAGAGTGCCACTGATATAAAAGGGTAGTTTCCGAATAAATAAAAAAAAAATACAACTCCGATTTCAGTGACGAAAATTAGTTGTTCTGTGTTGACGTGTTATTGTAAGTTGACGCAAGTTGACGCTTATTGACGGTAATTCGCTTAGAAATACCGGTGGAATGCGCTGATGTTAATTTGTGTTAAGTGTTTTTTGTTACTGCTTGTTATGTAATGTGTGTGATGCTATTATGTCCCCCCACTCTAAGTTGTGTGAGTGTTGGTATTGCCGACAGGAAGTCATTTATTCTCATTTACTAGGCCTAGGCGTAAAAATCTAACGAATTTATCATTTTTCTTATGATGAATGTATTCACTGTCTAATGTACTCAGCTTTAGAGTTAATAGGCAAGTTCGTACATACATCGCATGGTTGTTGTACACCACCACAACACAGCAGGCAGTGCTACTACTAGCTAGCCTCGCCGCCTCGCCAGGCTAGGCCTAAACCCAGATCAACGTAAGTTATTTCCTGAGCACCGAAGCTTACCTAGGCTTAGGCTAGGCTTAGGCTAGGCCTAGTCGTCTAAGCAGCATGATGATATAGGCCTTAGACTCTCCCTAAAGAGAGATAGGCACTGAGAGCATCTCTATAATAACAACTCCCTGTTCTAACCAACAAACGTACCCAGATTTGATTTCAATTGTTTTCTTTTTTAATGCCATGATTATTATGCCATATGATTAATAAAAACTTTAATCATCAATTGTGATTTTAAAAGTAGGCATAGCCTAGGCCTATTTTCTGTGAAAATGGCAATGACCAAAACAGCAATAACCAAAATGGCAGTAACCCAAAACAGCAATGACAAGTACCAAAACTTGTAATATTGAATTTGTATGATTATTTTTATTATTATTATTATCATCATTATTATTATTATTATTATTATTATTATTATTACTACTACTATTTATATTATTATTATTGTTGATGATTGCTGCTGATACTGCTATTTAGCATCATTTTTACCATATTTAATCGTAGTACACTTTCTTGTTTACAATTAGTTTATTTTTTTCGCGTTTTTACTTTTATTATGACATAAATTGTTTTATAGCATTGTTTTGGTCTTGCCGTTTTGACTTATTGCCGTTTTGGTCTATTGCCGTTCTAATCAAAAAGTGTTGCCATTTTGGTTTTTTGCCATTTTGTTCATTGCTGTTTTGACTTATTGCCGTTTTATTTCCGTTTTGTCCAGAAACCGTTGTTTGTCTGGTGGACATTGTTAGATCTAGTTAGTTAGATAATGTCTTTTGTAAGTGTTATGTAATCACAACTATTCAGAAAAGGGTCTTTTGACTGCAATTGTTCCAATCTGTGCCATGGCGTATTATACAAACATTTCCAAATTATTACAAATACAGTAATCTTTTCTGACCATGCTGTGTGACAACAGCTGAGTTGTAGGGAAAACCATACATGCTTGTGTAAACTTGGCCCCTTATTAGTAGTTTTAAATGTTATTTAATCTCAATACACTTTTTTTTGTTATGATGTTTTTTTTTTCTTTCAAAAGAATTTTCCCCTTAATATTAATAATATATTTTTAAATGTCTTGGATTTTCCAGTGTTATATTTGATGTGCCATTCAATGTTTTAAGTTTGAATATCAAGATGTCTACAAAAGAGAAGCCAGAAATTGATAATCCCTGTTCATTATCTACTGAGCTACATACAAAAGTGGCAGGAAAGGGTGAGGAATTGATGATATATGTTTTTATATTATTTGATTAAGATGTTTTAAGTACTGACACTGCTTTCTCTCAGAATCAAACATCTTAAGAGCCAATACCAGCAAATTTCCATTTTAGTATTTTCTGTGAGGGTAGAACATTGTACAGTATATATTAATTGATATTGACAGTGGCTTAAGTTATACCATTCTTAAAATGAATTCTTAATTGTGATTAGATTATGAATTGGATTAAAACTGCCATCAGAATCTCCCATCAGAATTTATTATTCGGAAATAATGTTATTTCTATGCGAAACAAGATATGTCTTGATACAAAACATCCTGTATATTCTCACATAAAAATAAAGCTTAAAATGGTAAATTACGATCTAAAAACAGGGTTGTATTATATGCGTGCAACACATACATGTTCGATTTTTAAATTATGTTCGTCTTATGTGCAATCTTACTTCTGAATTACCAACTGTTCGTATAAATGAAGGCAATTTTAAATGCTGGGAAATAAGATTTTGATGAACACTAAAAAGCCCATAAAATGGTATTATTTGGAAGATTAGCCCTACATTTGGCTCTGTTTTTAGCCAAATAGATGCAGTTTCAAGACCATAAAAAGTAGCAAAAAGTAGGAAGTCCGATAGTGAAACGAGGGGTGGGGGTCGTCTTATACGCCTGACATGCAAAAATTGTCTAAAAATCTTCTTAAATTCGGGGGTCGTCTTGTTTGCGGATTGCCTTATACGCGATAATATACGGTGCTAGGGGGTCAAATGGTGTAATCTCTTTTATGAAAATAAAGAAATGATGATGTCAAAATTACAGAATCTTCATTTTATCATTTAAATATGGAATTTATATCCCCAAATAGGTGTAATTCTAGTTCAGTCATGTTTTCTTTTCAAAGATGCATCAGAAAATGCAGAGGGTCCGAGCACAAGCAAGCTGAAGCCCTTCCATGTTGACAATGCTAAGATTAAGTCTGTACCGCTGTCTGAGCAAGCGGCCGAACTGAAAGAGCTAGGCCTGTTCGGTGTGTATGATCAAACAGAGCTTGAGCAAGGTATTCTTCAGCAGGTTGACAGTGCAATTAATGCTGAACAAGAGAAACAAGCAAAAAAGCATGCAGAAAAGGAGTTGAATTCTGTACTCAATGAGATCAGGTAATTATGCACTAAGTTGAGTGCAATAGTATTAGCTTTGCTGGAATGCATATGCCATGTTCACCCTTCAGTGCTTAGAGCTTGTATTCTATACAAAGAGTACCGAAATTCAGGAACAAGTCCCCTGATGCATGGGGGAGGGGGAGCACAAAGTTGAAGTACGTGGCCTCAATAATTAAATGAGGGTGCACTAGCTCTCAAATAAGGTGATTATGAGGTGATTTTTTCTACTTGAGCGAGATTTTTTTGCTTCAAACTTTTTCAATAGGGGAGGACTTGGTGCGCAAGTTTTTTTAGGTGGTTGTGCATCCCCCACACTCTCCCCTAGGTACGCAACTGTTGGTAAACTATGAAGGGATATGATTCCTGTCAAAGAGTTTCTTTCACTAAATGACTAATAGAAATTCTTAAAGATTTTGATAATGGAATATTGGGTTTTTGTTTTGTTTTGTAGATCAACAAAAGAAGAAATTAATCACATTGACAAGGTGATGAGAAGCATCGTCCTACCAAGTGGAAACAGCTATGGAAACAAAGATGCTCACAGGACCCTTGTCTCCATTAAAAGCCAGAAAGAATTGAAGGTACAGTGTTGAGTATTACCAAATATTCCATAGTAAAATGATTATGTTTCACAAGAAAAAAAGATATGATGATGGTGGCGGCATTAATGGTTCATCAAGGTAAGATTAAAGGGCTGTGGGGCCTGGGGCTGTAATTGCAAGTGGGCCTAAATACTCTGTGGCTAAAACATAATACAAGATTTTCTGTGATTTTTCCTGGGGTTTGGGGGGCCTACTTTTCCCCATTGGCACCTGTAGGCCTGTGACCGGCATCACACAAGCCCAGTGGTTGATTGTACAAGGACTTGGTTGCGGTGAGGGCATTGATGATGGTAGTAGTTTTGGAAGTGGTGATGGAATTAATGATGGTGCTGATGGCACTCTGCTTCCTGAGGAGTATTCCATATTACAGCCAGTTGGTATTTGAACCTACCAGTTACCCACTTCTACAGTACACTGTAGTTTCGAATACAATGAGTTGCATAATCTATCGTTTTACTCATTTTTATATTTTGGTAAATAAACTTTTAATTGATTATTGATGTTGTCTACCATTGCAGAATAAGCAGTTGAAGAAGCTGAGATCAAGACATCGTTACCTGTTGGCAACCCTTAGTGGAACACCAGAAGGACTTGAGGAAGACTCATCTCAAAATGACGATCAAGAGCAAGGTAAGATATACACACAACTTTTTGTAGCACAGTCTAGATGAACATCTACAATGTCATGGTAAGAAAACTCGGTCCAGACATACGTGGCGCCCTTCTCTTTCCGTTTAAATGTTGGAAACTTTATCATTAATCAGAGGCCGGTCATAGGCTTCTGCGCATTTGTGTCTGTCTGTAAGTAAACATACTAAAATCACATAGAAACAGTGATGATTTTGAATTGGTGAAAATGAAGGATTACAAAACAAAATAAAAAATATACTATAATAATTATGGATCATAACTTTTTAATCCAGAGGAGGAAAGCTTCAACATCCTGAGAGGCTTGCTGACTGGCGATGGCCAATCAACAACAGCTACTAAGGAGACTGAAGAGGAGCGATTAATTCGTCTAGGAGAGATGACCCCATTTGGCACCACTGTACAACCGACAAAACCACAACCAACGGAACCCCCTCCACTGACAGACTTTGAGAAGTACATGCTAGAACAAGTTGAGCTTGCATCAAAGAAAAAGAGCCTCCATGGAAGAAAGAAAGGAGTCAAGAGAAAAGGGAATAATAATAACCAGAAAGAAATTATCAAAAAGAAATTAAAAAACGACATGAATGAAGTTAAGAGGTTGGAAAAGGTGAAGGAGAAAGAAGATGTTGGCAGTGATCCTGTGAGCTCAGAAGAGGAATTCAAACCAACCATGGATCAGTATTACTCTGGCAGCAGTTTTAAAAGAGATGCAATGTCTTCAAAGGATATGCGGCCAAATTGGCAAAGTGACTCAGAAATGAGTGCTTTGAATCGAGTGACTACAGCCCAGATCCAGAAGACTGGCAGTCATCAGATAATGGTAAGTATATGATTTTTTTAAAAACCTTATTTATGGAGGGCGACCCTTCTAGCGTAACCAGTAGGGTCGGCTGATATTCATTGGCCCTCGTAAGCAAATGAAATAATGTGATGCTTTTATCAGCGAAGTCTCTTTATGAGGCTTAGGGAGTGGAGTTGTTCCTGCTGCTGCTGTCACAGGAATTGAACCCAGGACCCTGGCATTAGAAGGCAAGTGTCTTTACCACTAAGCTATTCAACTTCATTCTAAATGTATCTGCAAAGAATATAAATAACATTTTTATTTGTGCGTCTGGTTGCAATTTTCAATAGAAATTTGATATACTTTGTTGCAATCAAGTGCATGAAAATTGTTTTTCTAGGCTTAATATAACATTGCACTGATGCATATTGTTCATTAACATTACATAACTGTCAAGTGTGTGGCTCTATCCTAGAGATTCTACTACTATAAATATAAATGGAGATAAATGTCCAAAGTCGCTACAGTTTTTTCACTGCAATTGTTATTCTGCATATCTGTCCCTATAATGCAATTGAGAAAGCTTCCCGATTCAAAAGATCAATCAACGTTGCTGTAAGCTGTTAAGGATAGCATGCAGCGATTTTATGGAAACCAGTTTTTAGTTTCTTGAAGATGTATAATAAATCAATGATACTTTTTTTCAGATGCTTACTCAACTTACAAATATTTTGAAAAGTCAAAGAAAAAGAAATCTCCAATGTTGGCTAGACAACTTAAAAAAGCAAGTGGCACAAAGAGGAAGCTTAAGACATCAAAAAAGAGCGAAAAAAAGAGGACTTACAAAACTCGGGATGATGGAGACAAGTCCGTCTTTTATAAACGACTCAAGTAGGTGTAGAGTTAATCTAAATTTAATGATCTATTATATAAAATATAATATTGAATTAGATTAGTTTAAGCGGTCATTTACAACTATCAGCATTTTCGCAAGTATACAATCTTTTTCGGTACCCCTCCCTTCCCTCTGAAAGTGTGCATAAAAAATGTTGATTTAGCAAAATCAAAATTTTTCGTTTTATTGCGAAGTCAACTAAAGTACTGTAAAAGGTTAAATCAAAATGTAAGTAGCCATGGTTGTATTATAATTGGTCATAAACATCTATTATTTTAAATTTTGCATGTTACTTTAAATCAACATTTTCATGTATATATATAGAAGTATCTATACAAATTTGTCAGCATCCTCCCCCTAGCATACTGTTTGTACACTTGTGAAAATAATGAAAATTGTGAACGACCCCTAATTTGATTTGTATCCTTTTGCCTATTATATTTATGCTCTTTTACTGACATCATTTGTGTAAAACTTGGAAGAATTTTATCTATTAAGTTTCAAATTTTTAGTCTATATATTAACTAAAGAAATAACATTGTAGTATATTAACACTTAGTATGAGTATTGTATATTATTGTATTACCAATTCATGTTCACCTTTAGTTCAATTGTTTTTTACGAAACACTGTAAAATACATTGATATTGTGATAACAGATAATTAAGAATGTATTTTGATTTATTTTCTGTGCAGAGAAAACAAGCTAGCTAGACTGAGAGAGAAGCAAGCCAAAATTGAGCAGGGTGAGTTAGATAGTGACCTGGATCAGGGAAATGCTAGTTTTGAGGGAGGGTGGAAGTTACCACAGAGGATCTGGAAAAAGCTATACAGGTAGGTCACTGTCTTTTCCGATGTTGATAGTGATAATGATGCTAATACCAATGATATAATAACAATAATGATGGTGGTATTGTTGATGATGATAACAACAAAGATAACACACACAATGACAATGATGGTGATGGTGATAAATATGATGATCTTCATGATGACGATGATGATCATGACTAAGGTTGATTTGCGTAACGACTACTAGTACTACTAGTACTACTACTGCTACTGCTGCACCACCACTGCCACCGCTGCCACCAATTCAGTGCATCACCAGCACCACCTATTAAGTGCAGATATCTGTTAGCTCAATATACCACAGCTATTCTAGCCATATGTAGAAAGATTATCTACATATAATTCATAATTTTATTTCACCCAAAACATAATAATGAGTCTGGTAGGCAAAAAGGGAACATGTCCCTGTACAAGATGTCTACCAGAGAAACATTGATAAAAGTAAAAACATAATAATAATAATAATAATAATAATAATAATAATAATAATAATAATAATAATAATAACAACAATTGTAACAATAACAATAAGAATAATAATAATAATAATAATAATAATAATAATAATAATAATAATAATAGTAATAATAATAATAATAATAATATAATAACAAGAAAAATTATATATATAAAAAATATAAAAAAATAAATAAATAAATAAAAAATCTACATTTTATTGTTTCACCACTATTTCCTCTCTAGAGTAATAAATTTAGTTGTATGCGTCGTCTATTATATTGCCCTGCAGGGTTGTAGATGTAGAAAATGAAGGGTAGGTGATAGACATTTCAAGGGAGGGCAGATGATTAAACTAATGAACTCCAAATAATAAGAGTGAATTAATAAGGGTGGGTGGAGGGCCATGAAATTTGCTTTAGACTGGGTGGATAACTTCAAGGCTGGGTGGCCCCTGCCCAACACAACTACATCCTTGGTCCTGTACTTCTATTATTAAAATGTTTAATTTTTCCTACATCTATCATTTGGCATTCAGTGGACCATTTAAAAGTGTCAATCAAACTTAATAACTGACCAATCAGAACAGGGCAACTTAACAACTGACCAATCAGAACAGGGCAAATTAACAACTGACCAATCAGAACAGGGCTAGGAATATACGCGTGTCTAACAAGCACACGTGTTGTCCCACAAATGCACGTGGCTTCGTAATGTTTAACACTGTCGTTTTGTGGGACTTTATAGCAACGTCCAAGGAACAGGAACAGGGCTTAGTGGAAAGGTTCTTCATCCACAAGCATATTTTATACTTAGCTTCTTGTATCGTAATAGATATCAGCAAACAGGTGTGAAGTGGCTTTGGGAGCTACATCAGCAGGAGTGTGGTGGAATTGTGGGTGATGAGATGGGCCTAGGAAAAACAATCCAGATTATTACATTCTTAGCTGGATTACAGTACAGTAAACTCTACAACAAGAATTTAAGGTAAATCATCAATAATGCCATCATATTTTGCATACGTTAACCTTATTTCTTCGCTTCATCTTAGCTTACTCGCAGCCAAGCTGTAGTTTCAGATTTGTGGTAGCAGAAGAGTGATGGTGGTTCGAATCTTTCATCTTATGTTATTGCTATCACTTTTAAATGATTAATTTTCAGCTATAATGGATTAGGACCGGTCATTATTATCTGTCCTACAACTGTGATGCATCAGTGGTTGAAAGAGTTCCACACTTGGTGGCCTGAGTTCAGAGTGGCAATTCTACATGATTCTGGATCATTCCAAGGATCCAAGGTAAAAAATACCCTCCATATACTCAAAAGATATGTGACAAAGACAAGCCAAATCATTCACTCCTCGCAAAATTCAATTTTTAGTTAAATAATACAGGGTTAAACAGTAAAATAAAAGTTATAAAATGGTGAAAGAATAATTTAAATCTGACATTTTGTTGTGAAGTTACAGGGGTTTAATCATACAGCTGTTTAAATTACAGTATTTGAGAAATCAGCCTTCAAAGTTTACAATTTTGGGGAATTCTCAGGCAGATACCATCACTGAATCCTTACAAAATTTTTAATCGGAAAAATAAATATTATTCTGGATCTTCTCACAACATAGATAGTCTACTTAGTGAATACTTACCTGGGTAAACCAACAAATTGCCTATTCTTTCACACACATGAGAACACCCCTCAAAAAAGAAAATTTGTCAGTTTATCCAGGTATCGACTCATAGACTACCAACATCACCATTGACTTGCTTAATTTATTCTCTAATAATTTGTTATTATTTTTTTTATATTCGTAGGCTAGTCTCGTCCAAGATATAGTCAAGACTCACAGCATTCTGGTGACTTCATATTCTGGTGCTCGTCTGAATAAAGACATCCTTCTAAGACATAAGTGGCATTATGTAGTTCTGGACGAAGGTCACAAGATACGCAACCCAAATGCTGAGGTGACTGTTGTCTGTAAGCAGGTAAGTTTAAATCACGGATCATCACCAGTTAATGAAAAGTTACTTTTGGGCAACCCTGTTTTTGTTTTGTGGGTTTTGGTCAACATTATTTTAACCAGAGTTTACTTTTCTTTTAATTTCTGTAAATTCATTTTTTGTGAATAATAAAAATATATAAAATATGAAATGAAATGAGGCTTGTCATCCCAAAAGCAAGCATACTGTTACTAATTGTTACTAACAGAGTAATTAGCATAAAAATGTGGCAGTATTGGTGTTTGGTGGTCGCTATATGGACATATGAGGCATGTTGTGGCAAAATGGCTAAGTTGTAGCAAAAATTGAAATTCAAGTTATTGGTATTTTCAGGTACCTGAGTATGTGATCTTTAAAATGAGGGGTCATTCATTGAAATTGGATATTTCAAGCCTAAGTTATTGGAAAGTGAATGTACAGTAGAATCTTAATCTAAGATAAACATGATTTTGAGTAATTTACTTTCAAAGTTATTTGTGCATACACTATTTAATAGAATGAACTATCAAAATAACAATAAATAAACAATTTCTTGACCACTTCCAGAACTGATACTTTGAGATTATAAGACATTAATCTGTTGATTTATAGTGAAAAAAAAATTTGGATTATTAGGCAATTTTTTGAGCTCCCATATTTTATAGCTCATTTACTCAATACTGGCCTGTGCGACAACTTAACCATTTTGCCACGACATGCCTCATATGGCTCAGTAGTATGGAGCTTTTTCAAAAAACCAAAAGGTCCACTGATTAATCTCAGATAAGATAATATCATACAACCTCCAAGCACGATGGTGTGCATTTCGATACTTGGAGTATGTATTATACTCTCTTTTGTGGCAGTATTGTATACAGTAAAGAAGCTATAATACCTTTACTCATAATTTTGGTAATAATAAGTGGATTGCAGTAAATGACCTGTCATTTTACAGCTTATAATGCAGAGAATAAGAATATATTTAAAAGTCAGATCATCAATGCTGGTTTCATGGATGGTAAGCCTCAAATATATATAATACAAGTAAAAGTTAGGAATATATAATTGAAGTTATATAGATGCTATAGATGCTAAGCCTTCTATTTTGAAGTTAACAAAGATATATTACTTGCATACTGACTGACTATTCTTATTTTTGTGTTTATATTTTTTGAAGTTCCGAACCTGTCATCGTCTGATTCTCTCTGGTTCTCCAGTACAAAATAACCTCAAGGAACTCTGGTCCCTGATTGACTTTGTATTTCCTGGAAAACTTGGAACATTGCCAGATTTTATGGTGCAATTTTCAGTTCCTATCACCATGGGAGGCTATTCTAATGCCACAGCTGTCCAGGTAAAGGGTTCATCATAAATGAATAATTGCTATTTATTCCATAAGGAGTACTGTAGAACAAATATTATTGGGGACACCTTTGGAACCAAAAAAAAAAAGTGTAATAGGAGTATCCCCTAAATATAGGTTGGCCATATTGTTAAAATATATACTTTCCTTCATCATGTGGTCGAAAAATTGTCCCCTTAATAAGAGTATCCCAAAGTTCTACTGTAATTCATTATTTAGGAAAGTTAGTAGTACCATAGTGTGTTATTACACCATCCTTTTTGTAAGGTTATTAATGTTATGTACTCTTCGTTTAGGTGCAAACAGCGTATAAGTGTGCCTGCGTTCTCCGTGACACCATCAACCCATATCTCCTGCGAAGAATGAAAGAGGACGTCAAAAAAAGTATGCAACTTCCAGAAAAGAATGAACAGGTTTTGTTTTGCCGTCTGACAGCAGAACAAAGGTCAACTTACGAGGAATATCTCAAGTCAAAGGAGTGTCAGATGATCCTAAACAGGGACTACCAGGTAGGGGCAGTTATGAATAATAATACTAAAAAAAATTAATTAATTATTTTTTTGGAAACGCAAGTTATTACTTTGGTAATATAGTAATTTAATTGTTTTGAACATAACGAAGGTGAAGAACTTGCAAATACATTTCAATATTTCTCTTTAATATGTAAAAACTTAACATTGTCCTTAATGACATCTTCGTTTGTTGTAGGTTTTTGCTGGCTTGATTACCCTCCGCAAGATATGTAACCATCCTGACCTTAGCACTGGTGGTCCAAGAGACCCACTGGAGGGAGGTGAATCTTCGGACGAAAGCAATCAGTATGGGTACTGGAAAAGATCAGGCAAAATGATTGTCATCGAGTCCCTGCTGAAAATCTGGAAGGAACAAAACCACAAAGTGCTGCTGTTTTCACAGAGTAAGCAGGTAAGGATGAAATTGTTGTTAACATTATAGCTTATAAAGGTCAATTATGTTTTATTGAACTTAAAAATGTATCTAATCTGTGAAGTAACTTGTGAATCAGCCTCTCAAAGTGGTAGTAATAATTCCATTGTTTCCTTGAATTTGGTAAGGCTTGTTTCCAACATGGCAGAAAGCAAGGTTACAAAAAAAAGATACAGAGCATATAATAGTAATATAAATTATTTCCTCAACATGATATTTATTTTAACATGTTTACTGCTAGACAATTTTTTTTGTTTTGTCCCATGTGCCAAAACAAGTAACATACTTTTTTGAAATGTTATCAAGTCACATATCATCAAAATGGTGTGTGTAATGAATTGGCGGGAAAATTGTAGGGAACGAGTAAACTCGTCGCTGGCAATGGAACAGTAATTTCTATTGCCTCTGCTAAGAGCTAGTTTTTACATCTGCTTTTTGCATGGGTTGGTATATGTTCAGAGGACGCCCGACTCGTGCAATCTTCTGTACCCCCCCGCTACTTGTGCAATCTTCTGTACTACTGGCAACATAGCACAACAAACATACATATGTTATCTTCCGCGAACTATCAGCCATTAAGTCTGTGGTTCTACAATGTATAACAATAAAGTAATAAACGCTAGAATGTTACCCCAGTTTTGACGAGTATAGTCATCCTTAGCGCCCTCAGCAACACCATGTAGGATGGGTATACTCGTCACTGGCAGTGAACGTGTTAAGAAATTTGTTGTTGAAGTGTATCCTTTACTGTGAAGTTCAACAGAAGTAACTGTAGTTATATTGGACATGATTTGCAATGATTTTCAGATGTTGGATATTATGGAATACTTTGTGAAACATAAATACAATTACATGAGAATGGATGGCAGTATGAATATATCGTCACGGCAACCAGCTATTAACAAGTTCAACAATGTAAGTCTTTCTTACCACTGAATTAATGCTTTGTATGTTTCATACAATATAAAAATTAGATATTAATAGAGTATTAAGTTAAGTCATTGATTAAAATTAATGACAACTGTCTTCCATGATTTTTGCTGACTACTATTTCTGTCATTGAATGCAAAACCTCCTATATTCTACTGCCTAATCCTGCAGGCAGATTTTTACTATTATTTTTTTAATTTGTACAATTGTGGCATTGTAATAAATGTGTTTGTATTTTTACACTTTTAAATGCAACTTATAGATTACGAATTTAATGTTTTATTTCATTAATTTAAAGCTTTTATTTGTCTTGCAGGATCCATCAGTCTTTTTGTTCCTGTTAACCACAAGAGTCGGTGGACTTGGTGTCAACCTCACAAGTGCCAATAGAGTTGTAATCTTTGATCCAGACTGGAACCCAAGCACTGACATTCAGGCGAGAGAAAGAGCTTGGAGGATTGGTCAGAACAGACAGGTTACTGTGTACCGCTTGCTCACCACTGGAACTATTGAGGAAAAAATCTATCATAGGTATATGAGTTTGCTCTCTTTATGTTTAGATCTGTTAATTAGAAGCAGTTGGCACATCGGTTCTGGCTTGGACTCCCAACCTTGAGGTCAGGGGTTTGGAACTCCCGCTGTGCAAGTTGCTTGTGTCTTTGGGCAACGCACTGTATCTATGATTGTCTCTCTCTACCCAGGAGTATAAATAGGTACTAGGTAGGATGTTATGGCATTGAATGTACTAGTTCTGTGCGCCTAGTACAAGTGCACTACAAGATGCAGGGAGCAGAGAAGGTTGCATTTTGTGCTGGTTTGCCATTGTATGTTATCCAGTAAGCAGGGATAATAACATTCAGCACCTTTCTTTGATCATTCAATTTTGAATTGGTGCTATATAAATATTTGGTGGCATTATTATTAATTAGTGGGGGTTTTCTCCTAGCAATGCATTGACATAATACATCTTCCATATTTCTCTGAGTATCATTATAAAAAATTTATTTTCATGAGTTGCAGATGTTTGTTTTTTTTTATTTTTGTTTAGTTGTCTTTAAAAGATGTTTGTTCAATTTTATTTGCAGACAAATTTTTAAGCAGTTTTTGACCAACCGGGTACTGAAAGACCCAAAGCAGAGAAGGTTTTTCAAGTCCAATGATCTTTTTGAGTTATTTACACTTGGATCTGAGGACAGTGTACATGGAAATGAGACTAATGCATTGTTTGCTGGAACAGGAGCTAACATTGATTCTAAAGTGCCCGCCAAGTCATTGAGTACACAACCTCGTCCTGTGAAGCGTGAATCTGTCCTAAAGAAAACATTTAAGAAGTTTAAACCTCAAACAACTACCTCTAAGAAACTTTCCAAGCCACTTGATATCAACATTCCATCTGAAGGAACACAGAGAGAGGAAAGCAAGTCCAACCATGTTATATCTTCCAACACACAGGTAGATTCTAATGTGATAAATGATCCACACAACTCTTATGGTGGAAATAATGACAGTTCAGATTTTACTTGCAATGTTAAGAAAGCTGATGAACCAGCCAGGACAATAAACATTGACGAGAAGAATGAAAATGCTGCAGATATAAATAAATCATATGACAGCAATGATAATCCTAAAGACAAGGTGTCACTTCAGCAAAACAATGAGCACAGCCCATTGAGAGCACCCTCTAACGAACAAGAAGACAAGGGAGTAGATACTAAAGAGGACAAACACAGCCCATGCAGTTCACCCTTAAGCAAACCAGAAAACAAAGAGACAGTTCACCAAAATGAGGAAAATAGTCCATACAAACCGGAAGATATTACAGAGTGGAAAGCAAAGGAAATGAAGAAAATTGAAAAATTAAAGAAGAAACTTCTGAAACTACAAAATGAATCAAAGAAAAACAAGAAGTTGGAAAAGAAGAGAAAGAAAAAAGTGAAAGATGCAAGTAAGAAAAACACATACCCATTATTTTGATTCAACTGGTTACTTTTCGAATGCCAGCACCACAAAAATTATTATTATTACGACAAACAGTCCCTACTTCTTTTTTCATTCTTTATTCGCAAAACAATTGGTACAAAAGAAGGTAAACATTCTTAAATAATTTATGAATTATTACATAGATGGAGTAAATAAAATTAAAAGTTTATATTGCAGCTTTGCAACAACATATAAATATTGTCGGTGTATATTGATTACTTAAAATATTTATCTATTTATTGGCTTTCTTTAGGTCTAGAAGGCAAGAAGATAGCTTACTTATCTCGCCACAGTGTTTATCAGCAGGCAAATAATACTGAAGATTCTTCAAAACTGGATGATTATGTTCTTCAGAAGCTTTTCAAGAAAAATGGTGAGTTTAGCATCTGAGAACATTAATAGCCTATACATGTAAAATATATATAATATTTATATTTGTTATATATATCAATATTAAATAACAAAAATAATCAAAAAGTGAATTAAAAATCAATATACTTTACAGTATATGAATATTCGTTTATTTAAATATTTATACATTTATTTATATTTTTACAAAATGTGAATATTTGTTAACATGATTGATGAAAAATCATAGTTTACGTAATGAATTGATTATTCATATACATTTGTAAAGAATTATCAATTATGTTAATTTACTCATTACATGTATTTCTTTCGTAAATACCCTCTAGGTGTTCAAAGTGCAATGAAACACGATGTGATCATGGATTCTGCAAATCCTGATTACGTACTTGTTGAAAAAGAAGCTGAACGAGTTGCTAAGGAGGCAGCACTGGCTCTGAAGAGGTCTCGACGTCGTTGCATGCCAGCATCTTCAGGTATTCCAACATGGACAGGATCAGTTGGTGTTGCCAGGCCTGATAAGTAAGTATAAGAGAATAGAGCTTGGTTTCCATACAATTGCTACACGTTATTGCCAACAGCTTTCAGTGACACTGATTGGTCGGGGAGTGCAGCACAACGATTGCACTAAAAACACTGTAGTGACAGTGTAGTGATTTTAAGGAAGCCAGGCTGTAGTCGCCATTACCATGAAATTGATTACAATTATCATCATCATCATTTTCATTATTATTATTATTACATAATTATTCATTGTTTGTTTAAATATATTTTGTTTTAAATATTGCAGACCAAGGTTTGGTTTGAAGAAGAATAGCAAAGTTGCATCACCCGTGAAGAAGCAGGTAAATTAAATTATTTATTTTTTTACAACAGCATAGCGAGAGTGTTAATATAATAATTATTATAATAATTTAATTGTAACATCATCACTGTAACTCCCAAAATTATTTCCCTATTCCCAACCATTTTTCACAGTTTGCATGATATTTTTATATAGGCCTCCATGTACTTTAAGAATAATTGAAAAAATAAAACAAATCTCTATTGTGTGTTTCAAGTAGAGCTGACAGCTTGTGTCATTTGTTGGGGTTAGCACAGAGCTGACATCTTGGTTTTAAGATGGGCAAACGCTGTGCCTGTCTTGTGTTATAATGACATTTAGCAAATACTAATTTCTGTATCTCTGTTACTATATGATAGTAGGATAATTTCCTATGGATTTTTTGTGTAAGCGTCAGATAAATCTGGGCCATAGTGTAGTGTATTCACTCAACTACAAGCTGCAGTTTTACTCTGAAATGAGTTTTCAGGAGCTTGGAAAAAATATGCGCCTCAAGTGAATTTCATCATCATTCAATCCCTTAACCCCTAGTGGGGATGTTCAGACACTAATGATGTCTTGACAACCTCAGGCCACTGGGGTCTGGCAAATGACAATCATGTTCACTCTCGGATGTTGTCTTCCCATCTTTTCCTCTGTCTTCCTCCTCTCATTCTTCCTTCAACTGTGCCTTGTGGTTTTTACAAGGCAGTGTGATCTGCTAATGTGTCCGTATCACCAAGTGAGTTTATAGCTACGTAAAATGGAAAACTTGATCATTTTTTTCTTGCAGGAGGGTAAGCTTAAATTTGGCTCCAAGAAGCTCTTTAATGGTGCTATATCTGGTCACAGTTTCACAAAGACTTCAAAGAGTGACGGTGCTCTGCCATCATCTTCCGAACTTCTTTCAACCATGCGGGCTCGCAATAACATAACCGATGATGATGCCGTCGGTACCGTGCAATTAAACAACAAAGCAGCTCTTTTAAAGGACCTTCACACTTTCATCTCATTCCAAGCAAGCACCGATGGTCAGGCAACTACAGACGAGATCATGGACAAATTTAAGGACCGAATTCCGACACAAGATTCAGCCGTTTTCCGATCGTTATTGCGTGAAATATGCGACCTGCTTAAATTACCGAACGGCCATGCTGTGTGGCGCTTACGTCAAAGCTTTAGATAAATTTTAAATTTTATAAGTTATTTCATCAATCAAATATTGCATTGTTAGATATATACACGTCAGTGAAGCAATAATGAGCAATATGCTCAGAAGGCATTTTCATGTGGCTGTTTGCTCGATAACATGCTTGCCCTCAGATGATGAGATAAATGCTATATTGCCTTTATCCATTACATAATAAAGCCAGCCCTGCCACTAACATGAGCAACTGGTTAAATAAGGGCTTATGATTGGCCAATCCAGTTGTTGCATTAACATAACAAAAAAAAAATAATGAATGGATTTATTGCTCACCATTTTGTGAGGCAGGATCCACACTGAAAATTGTGCTTATGCGTTGAGCAAACTGTGGTTTTTAATTGGAGGGCAATCTGAATTTATATATATTTGCTTTCTTTTAAGAAAGAATTTTCTTTACATTGAAACAGATACATAAAAAATACCATTTCAATATTGTTTACATAGACTCTTAAATTTGCAGGCAAACACTATACAGATTTTTTTTGCAGAAAGAAATTTGTAAACAGAAAATGAATTGTTATTTCATCTGTATCGAATTGGAAGTTGTTTGCTTATTTGATCCTTTAAAATGAGGAATTGCTTGATTTTAAAATGTTGGAGGGGTTTCCCCATCTGAAACACAGAGGGTATATCTTTTAAGTAAACCACCTATTTCTCAGGATTATTTCAGCAATGAACAGCTCTCATTATGACATCATCATTCCCATATATGGGCAAAGCACAGATATTTGTCAAATATATTTGATAGTGTGGACAAAGCTTTAACATCAAGCATATTAAATTTTGGTACAGCAATTAAAGGTTAAAGGTTATTCATTTATATTGCGCAAAACACCAGAGTATCAACAATCATGTTATAAAGTAATTACGGGTAACTTAACGTTTCCTTTCACATTGACTATGACAGTTTAAAGTAAGTCGAGACATTTTTATACCTTGTTTCGCGAACTTTTTTTTTTTTAAAGATCGTCAGAGGAGATCGGAAAAAATTAAAATGAAATTTTGTTTTCTTATTTAGCAAAATGGGTTTGCCAAAAGCATCCAGATGGAAGAGGAAATAGAAAACTTTCATTGGTAAATGTAAACAGTGTAGTAATGGGATGGTTAAATGCTTTAAATATATATAAGGAAAAAATATATATATCTTATTTTTTTGGAGATTTTAAGGTAGCGGAGGGCATAATAAAAATAAAGAAAAATTTTTATTTTCTGAAATTTCCATTTTTTTGTGGGGACGGATCTGCTCATTGGCCATAAATAAAATTTTATTTTTATTTTAAATCATTACCATTGGCGGGTGATGGGTTTCGCTAAACAAAGTATAAAAAGTCTTGCCTAAGCTTAGAGGTTGGGGACATATAAACACTAGCTTATATGCAAATATTGTTAATGCATTTTGATTATAGTAGTATACAGTAGTTCAGAAGCATGTATAAATCCTGACCATTGTCAGACAAAAAATATACAGGGACAGTCGTTTGGAACACCTGACCCAAATGTCAGGAAATAGCTATAAAATCAGTAGGAGAATTTGTAATTATAATAATTTTTTAACCCAGAGACAGCTGGCCTGCAAATGCTATTTTGGGGCATTTAGAAGGGAAATAAATTAAATTTTGACACTTCAGGCCAAACCATGGTGGGCTGAGGTGGGTGTGGCCTGCCTGTCGAGAAAATGATTATACCACTGCTTAAAACACATTCATCAATTTACCTCACTCACTACAATATGGCCAGTAATTTTTGTAGTAATGAAAACCTATGTTCTTTGAAAATAAACTTCTCTCATCATTTTAACAAGTGTCACTGTCTTCATTATTTGATTACTATGTTATTATCTAACTTGGTTCATCAAGGTTGATGTGTGATTTTTGTATTAAGAAACGCAGAGTGTTTTTCTTACTACAGTATATTGATTATTATATGCTGACTACATTGATTCCAGGCATTTCATTGGTTAAAAGCCAAATAATTTCAGCCATGCCTTCTAATGCCTACAATCTGTATAGTGGTATATAAAACAAATATTTACTGGGTTCGTCTTGCGACATAGTAAAGCCTCCAGATCACCTCGAGCTATATTTTGAACTATGCTCCTCAACCCAGTAACTATTTGTGTACCATATAGTCCACCCTTCAAGACCACTATGGGACCTGAAACTTCGGGGTGGTTTTGTGGTTCGATCTCCATTTACAGGGTTAGCTATGTCTTATTTGGTCTTGAATTAGAGGGGTCTCGAAATTAGAGGAGTATCGAATTGGAGGGTGTAGTGTAGTTCACATAGACAGCATGTAACATTGCTCATCACTAAGGTTAGTGTGCTATTTTGTATTAATAAAACCCAGAATATTTTAAATAAACTAATCTCATTTCACAAGTTTTTTCTGTCTTCATTTATTACTATAGAATTTTTTGAAATAAATTTCATTTCTACAGTACAAGTTTCAGTGTCTTCATTGATAAGAATACTTTGCATATCATACTGTACTTTAACTGTAGTTAGATTTTTATGCTGTGGATATCCGTTACCAGCGCTCGACATTTGTACTGTACTGTATTATGATATCACTGCAAGAGGGTGGCAGTTAGGAAGTCTATTAAGTCAGGCCTGGCCTGATTTTTGTCTTAGAAAACAGAATAAACGTGACACAAAATAATAGTCAGAATCGTGACCTCTCTGTGTATTTTAAATAATGTACGTTTATTCTACGCTTTGCAGTTTGCACAATCCCTATATGTATATCTTATGCCATGCAGTTGTAGTGTTTCATTTAAACAAGCTTGTACATAAAATACTGAGTAACCCCCTTTCAAACTCTTGTTCTCTTTCTGGGTCCCTGGGGTGTAATAACAATCCCATCAACTTGTTTTACTCCTCCTTACTCTCTTGTACATAATGTACAATTCTTAATATGAAACCAACTCTAAAGAAGTTTAAGGAAGCCAGTTTGATTCTATATTTTATATTTTTTTGTTCATCTTCAGGACGGCAGTGGATACCGGTGCCATGCAAGATTCCAGTGTTTATTTTAAAAAAAGTTGAATGATGTCCATCATAGTGCTAGAATATACTCATGTCCTTGGCTGGTTTATTTACTTTTTCTTTTGAGTTCTTAGCTTGTTCTGACTTCATTTTTCTGTAAGCCATAATCGCTTCTGTCTGCGCTCCGTCAAACTGTCTCTTTTCTGCTTCTGACATATTTTTCCTCTTTTTGGTTTGTTGAATAATCCGTTTAGATTCTGATAATCGTGGTGCGTTTACTGAACTTGATTTCGTTAAATTACGGCTTGAGTTGCTCACTTTATCAGTTGTTAATATATTCTTTAACAGTAGGTTTCTTCTTCCAGGCTGTAAGGCAAATAATATATATTATCATCATTATCAAAATCCCTTTCCACACTATCAAATATTCTTTGATAAAAAAACTGCTGTATGCCCATATATAGTCATGATGTGCCTATATATGGTCATGATGTGATGTCATCATCACCACCAAAAGATGTTGCATTCCCATATATAGTCATGATGTGCCTATATATGGTCATGATGTGATGTCATCATCACCATATTCAGACATGTCACATGTTTTTATCAAATAAGATTTGGTAGTCTGGACACAGCTTTATTATCACCATCAAAAGCCCTATTTTTATTATTCACTTTATTGTCAATATGATATAGAGTTGCAATTTGTAACCAGAGGGCCAAAGTGCTCATAATGTTTAACAGACAGTTATTTGATTAAACCAAATATAATAGGACTCAATATCAATAGTTGCAATTTATAACCAGAGGGCCAAAGTGCTCATAATGTTTAACAGACAGTTATTTGATTAAACCAAATATAATAGGACTCAATATCAAATAATATTTTACAGCACGAAGTGACATTAATCAGTTTGTTTTGCTGTTTTTTTTTTTATTCATGTACATGGCCTCGGTGTAGGACAGCTTAGACTGAGAAGGTTTTTATTGGAGGAAAGTGTTCATTTATTTTGGTATAAAATAGTTACCTATATACTACTCAAATAAAGACCCCTTAATTTCACTGTAAATGTGGAACTACATCACATAATTATCGTCAAAATGTGTTGTTGCAAGATCATTAATATTTACTGATTCCAACCAAGTTAGAAAAATTTAATTCTACTTGACTAGAATATTAATAGAATGTTCTGTGAATAGTGTTGCTTTCATTAGATTTATTTACAGTCATTCCGGGGGAGGCGTTTATTGAAGGGGAAAATAACCCCGGGGCATATATTTGGGGGAGGCGTTTATTCAAAATGAGGGGGGAGGGGCCGTTTAAATATGGCTACTGTACTTACTTTGCCATCAGCTACTTGACTATTTCTTGGTTTTGCCAAAATCTCTGGAGGCCTAGATGTTACTTCACCAAATTTTACATGATCTGAATCATAAGAGAAGTAAATCATATGCAATTACGATGTTACTGAAGGCAAAAAACATGGCCATAGTCGTGTAGCACAAATTCTTGCCTTTTTGCCCTTAACGTCATGAATACAATCTAGTTTTAATAGTCCTTAAGGTTTGTTTTTGAGTGATGATCCATTAATCTTCCATTCGCATAAGAAGTCGTAAAGATAGCTTCTAGGAAATGAATTTAATCCATAGTAAATAATAGCCAGTACCTTTCTACAAATTAAACATGCTATCACAGACAGCTTTCGGTGATGCTGATTGGTTGGTCAAATCAGAGAACTTTCTCAATTGCGTTGGGGACTGCTACACAGTACAACCATTGCATTGAAAACACTGGAGCGACAGTGAAGTAATTTTATGGAAACCATGCTATACCAAATTCCCTATTAAGTTTAACCATCAACAAGTAATCAGACTAAATGCAATCTCATAAAAACAGTGTGATGGTATGTGGTCCTGTTGGACTGCTGTATATACCTTAGTGGAAATATCGAAGCCTTTAATCCTTTAATTATCTTGAATATATCATTTGTGTATTTTGAATCATTATTATACTAAAAAATAAAATGAAAGGATCTTACCAGTAAAAAATTGTTTTTCTTTCATAACCATATCATGATCCACCTTCTTTTTTTTCATTCTTTCTCTTTTCTTATTCAGTCTCCTAAATATCAATAAAAAACATTTAAATAAGCAATTCATATAAGACGTTTTTGAATTATCATTGCCAGTATATACAGTATAAGAGAATTGCAAAAATAATTTTTATTTTATTTGAACTATATAATTAATGATTCAACATGACAGTACAGGTTCTATATGATGCAAAGACAAGACAAATTGGTCACTCCTCTCAAAAAATTTAGTTAATACAGAGACAGTAAAATGAAAGTTATAAAATGGTGAAAGATTCATTTAAATCCGACGTTTTTCTGTGAAGTTACAGGCGGTTTAAAAATAAAAGTGTTTAAATAATAGTTTGAGAAATCAAACTTCAAATTTCAGGATTTTGGGGAATTTTCAGGCAGAGACCATCACCCAATCGTTAAAAAAAATGATTAAACATTGGAAATGGGAAATATAATCACACAGCATGATGTTCATATATATATATATGTCCTTGCTACATAATACGTATGACATACTCTCGTTTTCTGTCACTCATCCCTTTCTTTGGTGGTAGGAACTCGGAGTTGCCTTTGATTCGCTCCTGCATCCTAGTGGCGCTGAGCAGAGTGCAAGCTTCTGAATTCAACCTCATCATATATCTATGATTACTCTCTCCAGGTCGTTTCTTCAATTTTTTCTGCAGGCTAGTCTCAGCTATGAAAGAAATTAACAAACGAACAATATAATTTTAATTAGGCGCCTAAAACTTATTTGATATTATTTATTCTTCATGTGTAACTTTTAAATTTGATCAATTCTAATTGATTTTATCAAGTGCTTATTGGATACACAATGCAAAATGATTAGATAATATCATTTATTTATTTTTATAAATGTTTTAGGAAATACTGTATAGGAGAAAGTGTTTTACCTTTAGTCGTATCAGGACCTTTCTTTTTCTTTGGTTTCTTCATGTTTTCCATTGACTGCACCATAATCAGATGCAGTTTCGAAGCTTTCTGATCTCTAACTTTTGGTGGATTGTTCCATTTTTTAGAACTGAAAAACAAAATATTTGTACAAAATGAATTCTTTCGAATAGTTTTTTTTTCTTGCATAGGATTATAATTATTTATTATATCAGAATTCGGTTACGTTTTTCATACTTTAAAGAGATTGACAAGTCAACACAACTTTTAAAAGGTGGGACCAATCGACCAGAATACAATAGCGACCGTCCTTCGACTGAACGGAGAAGGTGACCCTTCGCCGTTTTTACCCTCGCGAGAGCCTCGACAAAACATCAGTGCAAGTATTACAAAGAAAAATGTCCAGACTTACTCCTGATTTAAACTTTCCTTTCGAGTGGTGGACGCAAACGGATCCACTGCCTTTATCTTTTTTTGTCTTCCCATTATTGTATTTTTAGCTTGTATTCAATGATAGGTCTAGGCCTAGTATCTACTGTAAGCTAGCACGCATTCGCCATTCACTTCACATGTAAAATATCCACGTCTCGCGCCCTCAAACGTTTACAAAAAAAAGAGGAATCTATTGTATGTGTAAAGAGAGAAAAAAGACGGACTAGCCTAGGCTTAGGCATATGCCCTCCCTAAATTCTGCTCTATTTAAATATAGCAGACTATTGAAACGGCTCGTAACACTTGGTCTATAAATCAGCACAATTATGGTAAATTATAATCTAGCCCATTACTTAAAATCCAAACGATGAATGATCCGAAAAATATTTGCTTGGGCCGCAGTACAGTAAGTATACTTGTTTTCATGTTTACTAGACCCACCGCTAAAAACAGTACAGTTGTTCTGTAGTCAGAAACTAAAACAATAATTTTGGTCGAAATAACTTGTTGTCCCGTAATGGACTTGAATTCTCAGGTAAATTGTATAAATATAAAATATTGATTTTGTTTACGTGGACATATTTGATTTATTAATTAATACAATCAATCACTTAGGCTATATGAAATTGGTTTTAAGCCTACTTTATGTACTTTTTTTATGGTCGCCGTAAATCGAAATAGGCCTACTAGGGCCTAGCCTCCAGCTGGGTACGTCAGTCATTTGTACGCGGCGTGTGATATTAAAGAGTTGAACCACTGCATTGTTTATCCTAGAAAATGGGCCGAGTAGGGACTGGGTAAAATAATTGGGAAAATAGTGTTCAGGTTTTTAGTTTTGTTCCGTCATTACCTTCCTTATTCTCTAACGGTCGTGTTTGACAATATATACTGCCATCTAAAATCTAATCTTTTTGATTGATTTTATTTGAACAGCTATATGAATTTGATGCAGGTACCTGCTTATTTTTTATATTAAATTTTATCAGAACTCAAATTAATACAGGGTATGCATAATTTGAATAACAAACCTGATCTATTTCAAAACACAAAAATTCCTGTTATTCATTTTCGTCAGTTTTCCAGCTCTCAAGATGAACCAGGCCATATTTACAACGATGAATTGGTCAGCTAGAAGTAGCTGGAAAGTCTCAAGACACCAGATTGTATCAGCTCAGGTGCCGGATTTTTACATATGTTTTAATAACATATCTGTCTGTTCTTTTTACCGGAGTAAGTGTACTTATAAGTCAGCTGGTACCCCAGTGTTTACAAAGAGGCGTTGCTTTGACCGGAATGCTGTTCATCAGGTCATCAGTATGAATTTCTATCAGCGGCCTTTCTATACAATGCTGGCAGGCATTTTAAATAATATTTTACGAAGAAAAATGTGCAATATTTCATTTCTCAGAAACAAATATTCAAATCAATGCAATTTCTTATGCAGTAAGAAATCTTTTAATTGGAATTTTAAAAACAAGAAGTCAGGAACAGTGCAACGTAAAATGATGGTAAAATTTTACTGCTCAGGGAGTAATAATCAGATACAGGAAGCAACAGAACTTTCAGAAACGCCCATTTTTCATGAGGAATCTGGTAAACCAATCGCCCCAGATCCTGAAACGTGTTGTGAAACCGGTTGTGTACACTGTGTGTGGATTAAGTACGTCGAAGAACTTCAGAATTATTACCCAGACGGTATTCAGGAGGAAGAAGTGAAAGATATACTGAAAAAAATCCATGATCCACTTGTGAGGTCATTTGTCAAAATGGAACTTGGAGCCTAGTACTTCAAGCCCACCTCAAGGAAATTCAACTCAGTTATCAACCTCACGTGATAGCAAGCTCAGCACAATTCACTAGTGTGTACGCATTGTTAGTGCAAATTTTGCCTCTCAAGGCAGTGAGAAAAATACCCTTTTACCATTATGCACACATTTATCATCTTGCAGACTATGCTACCATTAAATTGACCAATCAGAGTGCTCAATATTTTCCCATTCTTATGTCAGAAAATAACTGTGCTGTTTGCATGCAAGCTAAGGTGAATTCTGTGTGTGCTTTTAGGCATTATTATTTTATTAAATTTTATTAAACTTGTTTTAATGATTTTAAATAATCTTTGTTATTACACACTTAATTTTGGATGTTCTTGATTTTCGTTTATATCAAAAGAGATTTTTTAAAATTTAATTTAACAATGAATCGCTATCCAATAAAGTAATACTAAAATACAGTAATGTAGCACCATAATTTTGTTTTCATAATATATGTTAAGTTGGCATGAAATATAAAAGAGCTAGGATTAGACAGTGCTGCAATTTATTACGAGTAATTGGAAACAACTAAATTGAATTGCTTTGTTAAACCTTGTTTCCTTATTACGCTTTTGTAATTTTTGTATTGTTATAATATTATATACCAATTGTATTGTGACTTTCATACTTACTTACTTAATAATGATAGTAATAATACTAACTTGGTACTACCTGTAATTAATGACCCCTCCAATTAAAGACCACCTCCAATTAAGGACAACTTTTCTGCAGTCCCAAATTAACAAATGTCTTTTATCTTTATTATTCTAATTAGAGACTAAAGCTGCTAATTACCATGGAAAACCTCAGTCCCAAAAGTTGTCTTTAATTGGAGGGAGACCTGTACTTGAGTTCAGCTGTCTCTTAAGCCCTGTCCAGCCCAAACATGTGACATGCCTATATATGGTCATGATGACATCACATCATGACCATATATAGCCACATCATGACTATATGGGCATACAACAGTTTCTTGTGGTCATGATGACATCACATCATGACCATATATAGGCACATTATGACTATATATGGGCATACAACAGTTGTTATTTGGTTATGACATCGCATCATGACCATATATAGGCATATCATGACCATATATAGCCACATCATGACCATATATAGGCACATCATGACTATATATGGGCATACAACAGTTTTTTGTCAAAGAAAATTTGATAGTGTGGACAGAGCTTTACCAGTTGTAAATACTGAAGGAAGTGGAAGAGTTTTTTAGAAAGAAATTTTGTTTTTCAAAGCAAACAGCAAACACCCAATAAATAAGATGACTATAATTCTCCATTCAATTATTAATGTGTGTTTACGTTGTTGCAATCTGCTGAGCTTAGAGTATAGAAATTAATAATGCTGGCATAGGATTGTGTTTAGACAATAGTGTAAATGATTTGATATTGTCATAGGTTCTAAATACCGGTAAGCCAATATTTATGAAATATGAAAATGTTATGAAATATTGAATTATACATAAATATAATACACTGATGATGATTTTATCCTAACTTTGTATAATATATAAAATTTAATTCTATTGAATGAAATTTGGGATGTTTTAATAAATTTATTTATTTGAAATTTGAGTTGCTTGTCGTTTTTTTTTTTGTTTTTTTTTGGAATGTCATCTCATTATTACATTTCCTTCTTGAATTTAGTAGTGCAGGTACATGTACTATTTATTTAAATGCAAACAGATATCAAGGCATCTCTTCGTTTGTGTTTTTAAAATTTGACAAATAACTGCCATATAATAATAATAATAATAATAATAATAATGATAATAATGATAATAATAATAATACGCGCTAATTCGGACTTAAGGGGAATATCTTTCTTGTTATTTTCCCCTTAACGTCGTTTATTTTTCCCTTAACGTCGTTTTTTTTTATTGTTCTATAATTTCTCCATTGACTAAGTTCCCCTAAAGGTAGGTTTTAGTAATATAATAATAATGATAGTCATGGTCTACAATATCTTTATAATGTAGAGTATACTTAATGAAATAGATAAAATAATAGTTAGAAAATATTATTGTATTTTTCAATAGCGTTTTCAATCAGCATTAATAAACAGATTATCATTTTTAATGAGTTTAATTTTCCGTAATATTTCGACAAAAATATTTCGAAAATTTGTAACTACAGTATAAAAACTATTCAGTAACCCTGAGGGCGCACTATGGTAATAATTTTCACGTAACTCTAGGTGGCGCTACCATCGTTCTTTCTTCTTCATAGAAACACGTAAGTGGCAGTTACATTTTTAAGCACATAAAAATGTCTTTTAATCGTTGTAATCCGAAATCGTTTTAGAATGCATTCATTGGCTTTATATGTTTGAATGCTTTGTTAGCTACAAAGTATGAATATTTTGTGATAAATTTGTTTGTGAAATTATAAATTTAAGGTTAATTAAATTGAGAGGAACACGCCTCCTGTAGAGTTTTATTGGTGGGTTCAGCACGGTTTCGTCTGCAGTGTGATAGATAGAACACATACATCGCGGCCGAAACGATCCTACACCGCTAGGCCTAGTAGGAATATGAAAAATATGAATTAAGGAAAACGATAAAATCCTCTACGATAAGACTGATAGTGATATGTTATTTTACAATCTATAAATTAGTAATAAGACAGGGTTGGGCCTAGACCATAATAATAGAGCAAAAAGAAACAAATCCGACCGAGGAGGGAGAGGTGGGCATGACGTGCGTAGGCCTAGCAGCACCCAAGTGGGGAGGTGGTGCTTAATTTGAGGCTCTTTGGTATATAGAATTTAAATTGAAAATTAGCTTGTTTTGGAATGTCCTCCTGTGCTTCCCTTTTCTTTTTATTTTCCTCTTCAAATAGAAAAATTAATTAGATTATCACTCTTGCCCGCATCAAAAATTCGGAAATAAAAAAAATATTTTTTGCCGCATCAATTATTTCAACAGCATAAAAATAACAATGCAATTTTTGTGACTTCAAATATATTTTCTTTAAAAAACTATAAAATTAAACCAGTTTTACAATATTTACTATTAGAGACCAAATATACAGTTCCTCCCACATAAAAACAAAAGCGAAATAATCTATTGTTCCGATTAAAAAAGAATTTTTAAAAACCCGCCCTCCCTCAATTTTTTTTTTAAATGAGTGATAAATTAATCATTTTTTCTATGCGCCCTTATTAAGGGGCCTTACTAAGCCTAGCATGGCCCCCCTTCCCCCCCCCCCCCCCCACCAACCTTCCCCCCCCCCCTATCCCCCCCTACCATCGTTCTTTCTTCTTCATAGAAACACGTAAGTGGCAGTTACATTTTTAAGCACATAAAAATGTCTTTTAATCGTTGAAATCCGAAATCGTTTTAGAATGCAGTCAATGGCTTTATATGTTTGAATGCTTTGTTAGCTACAAAGTATGAATATTTTGTGATAAATTTGTTTGTGAAATTATAAATTTAAGGTTAATTAAATTGAGAGGAACACGCCTCCTGTAGAGTTTTATTGGTGGGTTATCAGCACGGTTTCGTCTGCAGTGTGATAGATAGAACACATACATCGCGGCCGAAACGATCCTACACCGCTAGGCCTAGTAGGAATATGAAAAATATGAATTAAGGAAAACGATAAAATCCTCTACGATAAGACTGATAGTGATATGTTATTTTACAATCTATAAATTAGTAATAAGACAGGGTTAGGCCTAGGGCCTAGACCATAATAGAGCAAAAAGAAACAAATCCGACCGAGTAGGGAGAGGTGGGCATGACGTGCGTAGGCCTAGCAGCACCCAAGTGGGGAGGTGGTGCTTAATTTGAGGCACTTTGGTATATGGAATTTAAATCGAAAATTAGCTTGTTTTGGAATGATGTCCTGTGCTTCCCTTTTCTTTTTTATTTTCCTCTTCAAATAGAAAAATTTATTAGATTATCACTCCTGCCCGCATCAAAAATTCGGGAAATATTGATGCGGGAATAAAAAAAAAATATATTTTTTTGCCTCATCAATTATTTCAACAGCATAAAAATAACAATGCAATTTTGTGACTTCAAATATATTTTCTTTAAAAAACTATAAAATTAAACCAGTTTTTATACAATATTTACTATTAGAGACCAAATATAAACAGTTTCTCCCTCATAAAACAAAAGCAAAATAATCTATTGTTCCGATTAAAAAAAATTTTTTTTAAACCCGCCCTCCCTCATCAATTTTTTTTTTTTAATGAGTGATAATTTAATAATTTTTTCTATGCGCCCTTATTAAGGGGCCTTACTAAGCCTAGTATGGCCCCCATCCCCCCCCCCAACCCACAAGTGTTCACCCCTGCTATAGACGCGCACCTAGATGGACAAGCTTAATTGCATTCCTTTACTTATTCTTGCCTCCTTAAATTTTCTCTTTTCTGTAAATTTTGCTTTGGTAATTTACATTTCTTTTTTATGTTATGTACTGATTGTTTTGGAAGTTTTACGAAAGGCTAAATAGTAGATGGATGGATAAATGGAAAACCGTTGACACACTGTCTATTAACACTGTTGTTAAGATTAGTAACTTTGATATTTCCATCACAGCAATGGCAGACGGAGAATCAGCCGGTGGAAATAGAGGGGGTTTTCGTGGCGGGTTTGGTAGTGGCGAAAGAGGCCGCGGCCGTGGTAGAGGTCGAGGAAGAGGCCGCGGACGTGGTAGAGGCAGAGGAAAGGCAGAGGATAAGGAATGGATGCCAGTCACCAAGTTAGGTCGTCTGGTGAAAGACCGCAAGATTAAGTCTCTGGAGGAGATATACCTTCACTCTTTGCCAATCAAAGAGGCTGATATCATTGACTTCTTTCTTGGGCCATCTCTGAAGGATGAGGTTCTTAAAATCATGCCTGTTCAGAAGCAGACAAGGGCTGGTCAACGAACTCGATTTAAGGTACTATTATTATTATTATTTTATTTATTGCAAATCCAACAGTGTAAACACCAATTACAGGATGAGAATGTAAAATATGTAAACATTATCAGTCAAAAGCTTAAAATTAATTTAAAATATAAAAGAAATTATTTAACCAACTCGAGTGTAATAGAAAAACTACAATGTAAAATATAAAATCCACTCTTATTAATTAGTTTACCAAATGTTGTTATCCACCTACTCACCCTTAAAATGTCTACCACCCATCTTTAGTTTTCTACAGCTACCACCCTGATACTGTGTGTATGTGATTTAATGATGAAGCCAAGTTGCATTGGACTTTTTTTTTTGCTGTATAATTATTAAAAAGGCAGTGGTAGTAGTTGACCAATCCAAAAATCATTTTGGCTACTCTTGTAAGGTGTTGATCAATCTGACCTTAATTTTACTGCACAGTCGTAAATTAAATGAATTTAGTAATGTATACTGTACCTCTTAAGTTGCAGCATAGTTTGTAAGCTTTCAGTTTCATTAAATTTTTTAGTGATTCTATGTATTCATAGTTAATGATGATTCGATTCCCCATCCCTAGTGCTTTGCACTTTGAGGGATATTGTCTATCGTTTCTGAACTGTGAAGTCGGCGAAACTCAATACTAGAGCGCTAACTGAAATGTATCCGATGTTCGTAATACGTAGAGCTGTGTGTGTGTACAGTAACATCTAAGATGGCTGCTGTAGATTCAGCCAATAAAAATTCACAAAAAGCATTATCAATGGCACTCTCAATTTACCTATGAAACTTAACTAGAACCATAGAGGTATAATAAGAATACTAGAGCGCTAACAGCAATGTATTCGATGTTCGAAATACGCAGAGCTGTGTGTGTGTACCATCCAAGATGGCTGCCATAGATTCAGCCAGTCAAATTTCGCCTGAGCACTATCATTTTCAATGGCGCCCTCAATTTACAGTACAATTTAAAGTTCAGTACAGCTAGTTACCTGTAATTTTGAAACTCGAGCGTTGCGGTGTATGGGTGTGATGTACACGATTTTAATTCTTTTTAATGTTTGAATAAGATGCTCTACTTGGCCTCTTTTTGGCTACGACAGTTTAATAATTTGTCATTATCAATACTAATTATTATTTATGAAATAATATTCAGTCAGAGGGCTTATTTATGGTAATAATATGTATACTAAGCCTGAAGGTGGCGCTTTCCCACGGCAGCCATCTTGGATGGTACACATACACAACTCTGCATTGCCCCGCCATCTTGTCAGCACTCTAGTTGTTTAATAGCTCTATGACTAGAACTAAGTTACCCACATGTTGAAACTTGCGTGTTGCCTCGCGTGAGTGTAACATAGTTTATTTCAATTTTCATTCCTCAGTGCTATATTTCTAAATCAGATACTCCACTACGATATTTTAATAATTTTTTTTAATAATAATAATAATGATTAATTTATTTATGGTTATAATATGTACACTATGTGGCAGCTTTCTATGGTGGCCATCTTGGATGGTACATATACACACTCTACATTGCTTCGTTGCCTAGTCAGCACTCTAGTTGTTTAATAGCTCCATGCTTAGGGATGACATACAGTAATATAAAATAATTATATTGATTTATTTTGACGATATCTTGCAGGCTTTTGTTGCTATTGGCGATTCGAATGGACATATCGGTCTTGGTGTAAAATGTTCCAAGGAGGTTGCAACAGCCATTCGTGGCGCCATCACCCTGGCAAAACTCTCCATCATTCCTGTCCGTCGTGGTTATTGGGGTAACAAGATTGGTAAACCTCACACAGTCCCTTGCAAGGTAATTTACCTGTTAAATTTTTGTTTTGAAGCTGTCGATATGGTCGATCCTTGTCCTCTCGAGTCCCTACGTAGCTAGTGTGTGTGATTGTGTACACTGGACCTACAGCTGAGAGTACTTATCTAATATGGTAGATGATGAAATATTTGTATTCCTAGTGCTTACAGTAGCACAATAACGGACAATACATTCCTCGTTTCTGAACCATAAATTAAATTATACATTATTTCTTAATTTAAGCATTATATATTGTAGCTTAGTAAAATATTAATTTATTTATTAGTTAAATAATAATGATTTAGAATATCATGAATTACTAATTAATTTTTATATACATCATTTATTTAAACTTTCATTTTTTCATTTTAACCAAGGCAATAACCAAGAATATAATTGAGGCCATTGGAAACATGTACAGTTGAACTTGCCCAAAAATGGCATTGAAAAATTGTTTTACTTAAATAACATTCGACTTTCAGATCATCACTTTATAAAAAAACAATTTGGCATGCAAAATTATTCGAGTTAGGCAAAGTCAACTTGAGTAAGTTTAACTGCTTTCCTGTTACTAGACTTGCTCAAAATATGTAGGCCAAAATAACCAGGAATTCCTTAATGTTTGTATGATTTATTTGAATTTTCGCTTGTAGATTACCGGCCGATGTGGTAGCGTACTTGTACGCCTTATTCCTGCGCCTAGGGGAACTGGTATTGTGAGCGCTCCAGTTCCTAAGAAGTTGCTTACTATGGCTGGCATTGAAGATTGTTACACCTCTGCAACAGGCCAGACTGCCACCCTTGGTAACTTTGGTGAGTAGATACTGTTTTTATTTTGATTTCTTGAACATCATGAGTTTTTAATTGTCTAAGGGAAGGGTTGTGAGGGCTAATATTTAAGGGTTTGGTCAGTTAGTGAATTTATCATTCAAACTAGTATTAATATTGTAAAATAACTGATTAACAAAGGGTGTAATGTTGATGTCATCAAAGTAGAAAATTATGTTGTTTATCACTGACTTGTCATTTATGGTAGATGATGAAAACTCTTTGTATGCCCAGTGCCTAGCACAATTACGGACAATACATTCCTCGTTTCTGAACCAGAAATTCAATTATACATTATTACTTCAGCATGATTTAAGATGCACAATTCGCTTTTATTTTAAACCGTGTTAATAACATTGTTCATTGATTTTTTTTTTTTTTAGCCAAGGCAACTTTTGAGGCCATTGCAAAAACGTATTCGTATCTGACACCCGACATGTGGAAGGAGACTGTATTCGTCAAATCACCGTACCAGGAGTTCACCGACCACTTGGCCAAGACCCATGCTGTTGGAAGCGCCCAGCCAAAAGAGCAGAAGGTTTAAAATGTAATCTTCTACAAGATGTTGCAAATACAATTAACCTCTCTTTAAGTATTTGTTGACAACATCAGTGAGGTCCTATGCACCAATCACACTGGCACCAATAGGACTGATGATGATGATGATGATACATGATGATGATGAAAAACTGAAAAATGATTTGAATAAAGACACAGTTCTGTGATATTCAAATATGACATTTGTTTATTTATTAGTTGTGATTTGCCCATATAAGGTGGTGATAATACATAATCATGCTAGGGGTCCCAAGTTGGGAGAAGTCAATGCCAGGAGCATAGGTAACACCTTACCCACCCACTACCCAAATGCCTCGGAGGAAAGCCACAAATGCATCAGAAAGAAAGAATATATATGTACTGTATTTTCTACATATCTAAAATCAATTGAATACAAATAAGCTTTAAAAACACATAAATTGTTGAACTTTTAGGGGCTTTGGCCCCCCGGACCACTTTCAATATATTTTGAGCAACTTCCGACTACATACACCCACTTTTTCCGTAGACATTTTTAAAAAAAAATTTTTGCCAAATTTTGGGGTGGTAGGCTTCCCTCTTGAATCTGCCGCTGATCTGGTTATTAAGCTTTCGTAACATTTAATTTTATTTTGCTGCACATTGTGATACACATTGGCAATCAATATCTTTCTTGAAACAATTGATAATAAAGCAGTGAAAACATGCAAATTTTATGAATTTGTGAGATATGGGTTTCTTGCTTAAGTGCGGCAGGCCGTCCCGATTTCCAGGAGACTCCCACAAGTTATGGGAGACTTGGGACCCCTGACATGCCCAAATATGTGTATTGACATCATCACACCCCATATATGGTTTTCCAAACACTTGTTTATTGCACATATTCATAAAATATTAACACAAAATGTTCTGCACTGTTCACCATAATGTAGATTAAAAACATGCATTTTATTTTAACATCGATTTCGGGGAAAAAAAATGTTACTTTACTAATACTATAGTACACTAAATAAAAATCAAAATATTTTGTTAGAATAGATACTGCATATGCGATATGACATCATGTCGATATTATATGACTGTGGTATGACTGCTCTACTTTAGCAATTTAGTATTGCACAAATTCTATAAGTTTGAACACTAAAATTATTTTACATTTCACCAATCTACAGCTTCACCATTACATGACCATTACATCTACAAGTGCGACAACATTTTACTGAAATAATATATGAAAACTTTAATATACTGTACTGTACTACAGAATGGGTAAAAATTATCATTGTGATGTGTAGTAACCAGTGAAATGGTGCGCTAAGAATTGGTGATTTAGGTAGGCCTATATGGTTCAGGAACTCCTGTTTCCACCTCTGGGGAGGTGTTGCCCCATGTAGTAACTTCTGCTTCAACGTCTAAAAATAAGTAGTCCCATGCAAATCCTAGTGAATTGGTGTCCTCCCATGTACTGTAGTAACTTCTGCTGTTTTAAACCTCTGAAATGGTGTCCTACAATTTAGTATTCTCGACAGCTGTAAAATAAAGAAAACATGATTAGGCCTATTCTTTACAGTTGATGCTGTACTGCGAACAGTTCATTGCTGAAACTGTTGAAGCAAAACACAGTTTGGGAAAAAAACATTCCTGCGAATACAAATCATTCCAACAGTGGCGGCTCTAGGATATGTTTTCTGGGGGTGACTAAGCTGTCCGACGTGGTGGGGGCGAGGAGAGGGGCTGTGCTCGTATCGCCGAGCAGGGTGAGGGTTTTTTAAAAAGAGGAACCCTCAGACAGACCCTGAGACAGACATGGGTTGGCTTAGGCCTATTTATTTATTTTTTTGTCCGTCTGCCCGATGAGCGGCGAAACCCCACCCCTTAGATATCGTTGCTATGGTCCCACAAGACGTTTAATCATGGAGAATTAGTTTATACAGTACTAAACTAAATCCTCCATGTTTAAAAGCTCTATTGTAAAAAAGGGGCTTATTCGACTGGTTCATTTCGTTGAATATGAATTTTCGACTGGTTCGTAAAATAGACTTCGTTGACAACGAAAATTAACGTAACCAGAATGCGTTAATTTATACATGTGACCAAAAAAAATATGGCCGATTGGTCAGTTTAGCAACAACATTTGCGTTAACGTAATTTAGATTAAATTTCAGAAAATAAAAATTTTAATATTTACCAACATTGAAGTCAAGAAATAATTGTAGGCTAACAGAATTTAAAAACTGGATGAAAACATTTTTTTACGAAAAACCCATACTGCCACAATCCGAAGCAGCCTTGATTACGCAGCGTGTATTGCAGTAACTATGCAGCCATTTTGTTTTGTCGAGTATT